CCTACCACTTGGCAGGTTCGTACTCAACTATCACAAACAGTCACCTACCACTTGGTAGGTTCGTACTCAACTATCACAAACAGTCACCTACCACTTGGTAGGTTCGTACTCGACTATCACAAACAGTCACCTACCACTTGGCAGGTTCGTACTCAACTGAGCATCTTGATCCAGTCGATAAATGAACATTAGAATTTACTTCATGTTAAAGAACCATTTTTCTTTACACAATTTGAACAATGAGGAACAATACCACCACTGGAACAATACCACGACTGAACAATACCACGACTGAACAATACCACGACTGAACAATACCACGACTGAACAATACCACGACTAAACAATACCACGACTGAACAATACCACGACCTGAACAATACACGACTGGAACAATACCTCTTATCTATTATACTTCACTACAACCACTACTGCTATCCACTACCACTACTCACTACACTATGCTACTCCACTTACACTACTCCACTACCCACTACTAATGCTACTCCACTACCACTACTCCACTACACCACTACTGCTACTCCACTACCACTACTCCACTACCACCACTACTGCTACTCCATACCACTACTCCATACCCCACTATGCTATCCACCACCACCACTACTCCCCACACCATACTACACTACCACTACCACACCACTATACTCCACCACCACTACTATCACTACACCACTACTACTCATACCACCATACTACTACTCCACTACCCCAACATACTCCACTACCACCACCACTACTAATCCACTACCACCACTACTACTACTCCACTACTCCCCCACTATATCCACTACCACCACTACTGCTACTCCACTACACATCCACTACCACCTACTGCTACTCCACTACCACCACCACTACTACTCACTACCACCATACTACTACTCCACTACACACCACTATACCATACACACTACTACTACTTCCACTACCACCACCACTACTACTCCACTACACCACTACTACTACTCCACTACCACACCACTAACTACTCCACTACCACACACTATACTCGCTACCACCACCACTACTACTCCACTACCACCACTACTACTACTCCACTACCACCACCCTACTATCCACTTCCACCACCACTACTTCTCCACTACCACCACTACTACTACTCACTTCCACACACTATACTCACTACCACTATATCCACTACACCACTATCTACTCCACTACCACCACATACTACTACTCCCATATACTACTACCACCACCACTACTACTCCACTACCACACTACTACTCCACTACCACACCTACTATATACTACCACACTATCCTCTACCACCACCACTACTACTCCACTACCACACTACTGCTATCCTCTACCACCACCACTACTACTCACTACCACCATTACTGCTACTCCTCTACCACCACTACTACTCCACTACCACATACGCTATCCTCTACACCACTACTACTACCACTACCACCCTACTGCTACCCTTACCACACCACTACTACTCCACTACCACCTTACTGCTACTCCTCTACCACCACCACTACTACTCCATACCACCACTACTACTCCACTACCACCACTACTGCTACTCCTCTAACCACACCATACTACTCCACTACCGCCACTACTACTACTCACTACCACCACTACTACTACTCCACTACCACCACTACTGCTACTCCTCTACCACCACCACTACTACTCCACTACCACCACTACTGCTACTCCTCTACCACCACCACTACTACTCCACTACCACCACTACTACTCCTCTACCTCTACTACTGCTCCACTACCACCACTACTGTACTCCCTACCACCTTACTACTACTCACTCCACACTATACTACCCACTACCACTACTCCACTACCACCACTACTACTACTCCACTACCACCATACTACTACTCCACTACCACACATACTACTACTCAACTACCACACATATACTACTCCACTACCACCACTACACTACTCCACTACCACCATTACTATACTCCACTACCACCATTACTACTCCTCTACACCACTCACTACTACTCCTCTACCACTCTACCACTACTCCACTACCACCACTACTACTCCTCTACCACCTCTACACTACTCCACTACCACCACTACTACTACTCCCCTACCACCATTACTACTACTCCACTACCACCATACTACTCACTCCACCATACTCACTCCTCTACCACCTCTACACTATCCCTACCACATACTACTACTCCTCTACACCTTCTACACTTCCACTACCACCACTACTACTACTCACTACACACTACTAATATTCCATACCACTCTTCTCTAACCAGTACTTACTTACACCACTGTACTACTACTCTACCACACTACTACTCCACTACCACCACTTACTACTCCTACTCACCACTACTACTACTCTACTACCACCACCACTACTCCTCTACCACCACTACTACTACTCCTCTACCACCATCTAGATGCTCCACTACCAGCACTACTACTCTTCTACCACTATTACTACTACTCCACTACCACCATACTACTACTCTTCTACCACTATTACTATACTCCTTATCATCTTATTACTACTCCACTACCACCACTACTAGTACTCAACTACCTCTACTACACTCACTACACCACTACTACTCACTACCACCACTACTACTTACTCCCTCCACCACTGCTAATATTCTCACTACCAACTACTATCCACTACACCACTACTACTATCCTCTACACTTACTGCTCTACTACCCACCATTACTAATACTCCACTACCACCATACTACTACTCCACTACCACCAACTATACTACTCCATTACACCCTACACTACTCCACTACACCCACTCTACTACTCCTCTACCACCACTTACTACTCCACTACCACCACTACTACTACTTCTCTAAACAGTACTACTACTCTACCACCATGCTACTACTACTCTTCCACCTAACTACTTCACTACCACCCTATACTATCCTTACACTATACTATATCCACTAACCACCACTACTATCCTCTACCACACTACCACCACTGTACTTTCACTTTTATTGTCCATATTCTGAAAAAAACGTTTCGTCTTGTCTTCGATTTCATGTGAACATTGTGAAGGCTTACTCAGCCCTGTAACAACTTCAGTCAGTATTACCCAGGCTGCTCTCCTCAGAAAATTAATGAATATAAAATAAAAACTGACAACGTAAACACTTATTATTTAGAAATATATATAAAACACTTAAATATGAAAATGATCCTACATTAAAAAATGAAAAATGAAAAATCTAAATATCAATTCAACGCTATTATGAACTTGGGTGTCTGGTGTCTGGTGACACTGTGTGTTGTTGAAAACGACGTGCTGATGATGGGGGGGGGGGGTCGCAGGTGTTGGTTACAACCTACTGCTAGTTCTTCATAGTATAGCCGTATAATTCCGTCCACGTATGACTGGAAAGCAGGTTTTTTCCACTGCAATGAGAGGGGTATATCTGCCTACTTGGATACACAAACAGGTAAGGTAACTTTGGGACATCTCAGAACGTTATCACCGTTTCTTCATTTACTCGTTGATTGGCAGGTGACCTCTCTGTCATCAAGCTGGAAGTAGAACAGGTTACCATGCTTAAGAATCACTTCTCATGATAATACAACCTAAAACGACGTGGTGATTATACACAGTCAACCTAGGCAAGACTGAAGGACTAAGTTTATTATGGTACAAAGTGAAGCTTCAACTAATAATCACTAGAATACATAGGCAGGCAAGTACTAAAGTAGTGCTGGGAGCTGTGGATCTAGTGATTACTGTTGGGACGGTGGCCCACGTCACCTTTGGGGGGGGGAAGAAGAAGGGAAGGGATAGTGGAGCTTAGATTCCTACCTTAACAAGTAGCGGCACTGAAACTGTTTCTATATCCATCGCTACTACTATTGAACTTTTCCCTCACAAACTATTGATCGTTATGTACGTATCTCCTTTGATATGAATATAAACTCCTCTTGTGTAATCATAGATGTTGTACAAGAAAAGGCAATATACCGTGTTGGAAAGTACACAATAACCCACATAGAAGAGAGGAGCTTACGACGACGTTTTCGGTCCGACTTGGACCTTTAAAGTTCACGTAACAGAATGGAGGGAGGAGGGAGTATTATATAGGCCAGCAGACGGGAGGACAAGAGAGGTAGTGTGGAGGTAGTAAATACAGAAAGGAGTCTACTGCTACTACTACCTCTCTTGTCCAGTCCCTGTCTGCTGGCCTATATATACTCCCTCCTTCTCTCCTTTCTGTTAGTGTGACTTTGTAAAAGGTCCAAGTCAGACCAAAACTCCGTCGCATGCTCCTCTCTTCTATGTGCGGGTTATTTGTGTAAAATATGTTTTACTCTCATATCTGCGGTGAGTTTTTTGTTATCAGATTGTTGTCAACGAATATTTGTTTTTGAAGAAGCGTGTACAGTATTTTGTAAAATGTCTTATTGGTTGTATTTTATCTTATTGATGGTAACATCTTCAACAACACAACTGTTAGTAATGCCTTAACTATCTATAGGCCACTTATTATAAGTGTAACAACAGTATGACGGCTCATTCACACTTATATTCCCCCATACCTCTCAGGGTGGGCAGTCAGTTGCAGTCAGGTCTTGGTACAGAGATGACCGGCTTGGCAGACGCAGGTACTTGGAGGAGTATACCTTACGGGTGTTCCGTGGGTCAACTCCCCCGCTGCCCGATCCGTGACCACTACATAATAAACTGTGTACCACTACAATAAACACTACCAAAGCAACAGGACGTCTATATTGGGTCTTTCACACTCCATTTTATCCACAACATTACTACTTACCACGCTGTATAGTCCTTGTGGCTTAGCGCTTCTTTTTGATTATAATAATAATACTACTTACCAAGTTATCCCAGGTTATCTGGCGAGGTATTACCAACAACAACACGGCAGTTGAGTTCGAACTCAGGATGGGGGTTGGAAAATAGGTCAAGAAACAGTTACCTGAAATGTTACTTGTGTCACACAAGTCGATGTGTTGGTTGTTACAAGCGAGGTTACAGGCCCACTCCCTCTGCTGCTTCAGCGATAAGTCCAGATAAATTCTCATTACCCATTCAGGATACATTTTGACTACCAACGGCGCCAATTGCTCCAGCCCGCTGTGGTACTCACTAGGAAACTTGCCGTACAGGGAGTAACTGACTACCTGAGAGAGAGGTGCATGATGTACTTACAGAAATAAACTCGGATACAGAAATTCGTCTCCCACGCTTAACCTAACAGTACATACATGTATGATCATACACATCCAAAAATATGTATCATGTGCACAAGCACATGTACATATGAGCTTGCATAAACTTGTTACACATGAAATACACACTAGGTTAATATCTACAAATATCAGTAAGTTAAAAAGCATATAAACGAAGGTATACAACTCTATTATTTTAATATTAGCATCTAAAACCCATAATAATGAATTCTTCAGTAGTCTATATTCATCTGTTTGGCTTATTTTCAAGTGCCATGTTTTTCGGCATATAAGGCGCACAATCATGTAAGACGATGTTTCCAAGCATTTGTTATGTAACGTTAGTAAACAACTGCTAAAGCGTAACCTAAAGTCTACCCTTGACCATGATCTTGAGCATATAAATGCGCAGGCTGATTTTCCAAGACTTTCTGTGGGAAAAAAGCGCGCCTTATATGCCGGAAAATACAGTATGTAGCCCGCCTGCGTAATGTTCACTCTTGGTCAAGCATTTGCATAAATTTAAATGGTCTAAAACATTTCAACCATACTAGTCCAAGAATTTAGAGAACTGACACGGGAGGCACGATAATCAAAGCAAAAATATTTAAGTAGAATTAATAGGGCCCGGTGGCCCGGTGGCCAAAGCTCCCGCTTCACGCACGGAGGGCCCGGGTTCGATTCCCGGCGGGTGGAAACATTTCGACACGTTTCCTTACACCTGTTGTCCTGTTCACCTAGCAGCAAATAGGTACCTGGGTGTTAGTCGACTGGTGTGGGTCGCATCCTGGGGGACAAGATTAAGGACCCCAATGGAAATAAGTTAGACAATCCTCGATGACGCACTGACTTTCTTGGATTATCCTGGGTGGCTAACCCTCCGGGGTTAAAAATCCGAACGAAATCTTATCTTATCTTATCAGACAAGATATTGCTCTTTGAAATACGACGATCAGGTACATTGACGGAAACAAAAACAAATCGATAAGCTATACTGATTTAGCCTGAAGATAGTAGAAAGGTACAAAAAAGTTGAATGAGGAACTAGGGGAAACAAATGAGCAGGAAGTAGGTTGTATTTGAATGGTTTACAATACCGACAAGATAAAGAGTCAGACACATGTTCAACATTTGGTTATCTTTATTTGCAGGCGTTTCGCCATCCAGTGGTTTTATCAATACAAAATCAAGGACATAATAGGAAGACTATAGATCTATATACTAAAGGCGAGGTAATCAGTCCCTCCAAAAACTGATTACGTCGTCTTTTGTATATAGTTCTACAGTCTTCATACCCCTCATGGAAGGTTCCTTGATGTTGGTGAGGGGCTCTTGATTTAAGGAATTGGATCTGTGCTCCAGTTCCCCGAATTAAGCCTGAATGCCTTCCACATCCCCCCTCCCCTGGGCGCTGTATAATCCTACGGGTTTAGCGCTTCCCCCTTGATTATAATAATAATAATAATACAGTCTTCATATTATGTCCTTGATTTTGTATAGATAAAGCCACTGAATGGCGAGATCTCGACAAATACAGATACGCAGGTGTTATATAAGCTGTGTAATTCAGGAAGGAGATCGTCTTCGAGGCGTGAACCAGGAATATATAACAAATTTGAAAGAAGCTGCCGACTCGAGTCCAAGAAACACAAATCCACGAGCACACTTCATACATTATATTGATTATATATAATCAGAAATGATCTTAGGACTAATCTTTCATGAAATTGCATATAGAAGCGTATATAATATACAGAGATTAGATCCTGGTGACGTCAAATTAGAAGTAGATGAAATGTTTGATTTAATTTTGAAAAATATCCATAAGGGCTCTGGTGGCCTGGTGGTTAACGCTCTCGCTTCACACGGTGAGGGCCTGGGTTCGATTCCCAGCCAGAGTAGAAACATTGGACGTGTTTCTTTCCACCTGTTGTCTATGTTCCCCATCAGTAAAATGGGTACCTGGGTGTTAGTCGACTGGTGTGGGTCGCATCCTGGGACACTGACCTAAGGAGGCCTGGTCAAAGACCGGGCCGCGGGGGCGTTGACCCCCGGAACTCTCTCCAGATAAACTCCAGATAATTTGAGATAAAAACTAACTAGATGTTTTTCGGTGGCTTCGTGATCCGAGAAATGTACCATAAGCTCAGCCATATCTACCTTAATGTAAGCAAAAGGAATAGTGCAAGATGGTGTTAAAGTTCTAAACCCGAAAGTAAAACATAATAATACGTATTATGTACACATGTATGAATGAATGAATGTGGACATTGATAAAAGGACACAAGTGCATACACGTCGGTATTATAATTTCATTTGTCGCATATGGGTATGAATATATTTACGAACATGGGCATCTGCGCATGCATACATGTACATATGTATGTGTACTTCCAAATACGTGCATGGATAAATACAACCAAATTTGAATGTATCTATGGATTCTGTCTCCATTACTTCGCTCTTCAAATTGTTCCACTTCCTGATATCTCTAAGGTTGAAAAACTACTTCACAATATTCCCATCTGATTTTCATCTTCCAGTTGTGTCCCCTTGATGTTGTGTCCCCTTTTTGTTGTGTCCTCTTGTTGTTGTGTCCCCTTGTTGTTGTGTCCCCTTGTTGTTGTGTCCCCTTGTTGTTGTGTCCCCTTGTTGTTGTGTCCCCTTGTTGTTGTGTCCCCTTGTTGTGTCCCCTTGTTGTTGTGTCCCCTTGTTGTTGTATCCCCTTGCTGTTGTGTCCCCTTGTTGTTGTGTCCCCTTGTTGTTGTGTCCCCTTGTTGTGTCCCCTTGTTGTGTCCCCTTGTTGTCGTGTCCCCTTGTTGTTGTGTTCCATAAGCGAAACATTCTAGCATTATCCACTTTCTCAGTTCCTCTCATGTCTCCACTGTCCCTCTTTTTCCTCACAGAACATACCCTTTAGTTCCAGGACTAGTCTTGTTGCAAACTTTTGCACTTTCTCTAATTCCTTGATGTCCGTAGAAGTACTGCGTACTCCAATATGGGCCTGACGTGCACGGTGTACAGTGTCGTGAATGACTCCTTACCTAGATATCGAAACGCTGGTATTAGGTTTGCTAGCCCCCCGTATGCTGAAGAAGATATTTGGTTGATGTGCGCCTCAGGAGAAGTGCTCGGCATGATACTCTTCCCATGATCCTTTTCCTTGAGTGAGGTTTGCAGCCTTTGACCCCCTAGCTTGCACCCCGTCTGCAGTATTCTTCGACCTAGCCCAATCTTTATGACTTTGCACTTCGTGGGGTTAAGCTCCTAGAGTTGTTGGACCAGGCATGCAGCCTATCAATGACCCATTTGTAGTCCTACCTGATCCTCATCAGTTTGAATTCACCACATTAGCTTTAGATCGTCTACAAACAGGGGCAACTCTGAATCCATCCCTTCCGTCACATCATTCACATACACCAAAAACAGCACAGGTCCTAGGACTGACTCCTGTGGAACTCCACTTGTCACACGCACCCATTCTGACACCTCGTCGCGTACCATGACTCGTTATTGCCTCCCTGTCAGATATTCTCTGATCCATTGCAGTGCCTTTCCTGTTATGTGTTCCTGATCCTATAGCTTTTGCTTTAACCTCTTGTGAGGAACTGTGTCGAAGGCCTTCTTGCAGTCCAAGAAAATGCAGTCTATTCACCCCTCTCTCTCTCTTGTCTTACTTTTGTCACCTTGTCATAAAACTCCAGTAGGTTTGTGACACAGGATTTTCCTTCCCTGAAACCGTGCTGGAGGTCGTTTATACAATTGTTTCTTTCCAGGTGCTCCACCACTCTCCTCCTGATGATCTTCTCCATGACTATGCATACTGTACGCGTTAGCGACACTGATCTGTAGGTTAATGCCTCGTGTCTGTCTCCTTTTTTTAAAAAATTGGGAATACATTTGTCATCTTCCATACCTCAGGTAGTTGCCCAGTTTCAATGGATGTGTTGAAGATCTTTGTTAGTGGTACAAACAGCAGCTCTGTTCCCTCTTTAAGGACCCATGGAGAGATGTCTGATACCACCGCCTTCGAGGTATCAAGTTCACATAGCAGCTTCTTCTCCTCGGTTGTGTGCACCTCATCCAGCACTTGTTGTACCTATCTGTTCTGAATTCCTGGAATCCTTCCTGTCTCTACTGTAAATACTTCTTTAATCTCATGTTGAGCTCCTCACATACCTCTTGGTCGTTTCTTGCGAACTCACCACCATCCTTCCTCAGCCTGAGTACCTGGTCCTTGACTGTTGTTTTCCTCCTGATGTGGCTATACAACAGCTTCGAGTAGGACTTGACTTTCGATGCTATGCCATTTTCGTATTGTCGCTGAGCCTCCCTTCTTATCTGTGCATATTCGTTTCTGGCTCTTTGGCTGATCTCTTTAGTTTCCTGAGTCCTTTGTCTTCAGTACTTTTTCCATTCTCTAGTGTGCCTAGTTTTTGCCTCCCTACACCTTTGGGTGAACCAGGAACTCGTTCTGGTCTTCCCATTATTTCTATTTCCTTTGGGAACAAACCTCTCCTCTGCCTCCTTGCATTTTGTTGCCACATAGTCCATTTCTTCTATTGGTTTTCCTGCCAGTTCTCTGTCCCACTGAATATCTTGCAGGACGTTCCTCATGCGTATGTGTGCATGTGTGTGTGTGTGTGCATGTGTGTGTGTGTGTGTACTCACCTATTTGTACTCACCTATTTGTGGTTGCAGGGGTCGAGTCACAGCTCCTGGCCCCGCCTCTTCGCTGATTGCTACTAGGTCCTCTCTCTCCCTGTCCCATGAGCTCTATCATACCTCGCCTTAAAACTATGTATGGTTCCTGCCTCCACCACATCACTTTCTAGGCTATTCCATGGCCTGACTACTCTATGACTGAAGAAATACTTCCTAACATCCCTTTGATTCATCTGAGTCTTCAACTTCCAATTGTGACCTCTTGTGTCTGTGTCCCATCTCTGGAACATCCCTGTGTGTGTGTGTGTGTGTGTGTGTGTGTGTGTGTGTGTGTGTGTGTGTGTACTATCTGTACACACCTATGTGTATTTGCAGGGGTCGATTCATAGCTATTGGCTCCGCCTCTTCCCTCGTTGCTACTAGGTTCACTCTCTCAAAGCTCCATGAGCTTCAACGTACCTCTTGTTGAAGCTATATATGGATCCTGCCTCCACTACATCACTCTTCACATTATTTCACTTCCTGACAACTCTGTGACTGAAGATATACTTCCTAACATCCCTGTGACTCATTTGATTTTTCAGCTTCAGTTGTGATCCCTTTGTGATCTGAAATATTCTTTCGTTTCTCTAAATATTTTATATGTCGTTATCATGTCCCCTCTATCCCTCCTGTCCTCCAGTGTCATCAGTTTGAGTTTCCTTAGCCTCTCCTCACAGGACATACTCCTTGGCTCCAGGACTAGTCTTACTGCAAACCTTTGCACTTTCTCTAATTTCTTGACGCATCTGATCAGGTGTGGGTTCTATAGTGGTGCTGAATACTCCAATATGGGCCAGACATATACAATGTACAGTGTTGTGAATGACTCCTTACTCAGATGTCAAAACACTATTCTCAGGTTGGCCATGCAACCATATGCTGCCCCAGTTATTTGGTTGATGTGCGCCTCAACAGATGTGGTGAAGGTCCTTTTACCTAAGTGAGTTTTGCAGCCTTGACCTCTTAGTAGCGATCTTCTTTGTCCTTCCCCAAGCTTCATAACTTTGCATTCATTGCGGTTAAACTCCAGGAGCTATTTGACGGACCAGGCTCGCAGATTGTCCACATCCCCTTGTAGACTTACCTGATCCTCGTCCGCTAGTGTGTGTGTGTGTGTACTCACCTATTTGTACTCACCTATTTGTGGTTGCAGGGGTCGATTCATAGCTCCTGGCCCCGCCTCTTCACTGATTGCTACTAGGTCCTCTCTCTCCCTGCTCCATGAGCTTTATCATACCTCGCCTTAAAACTAAGTATGGTTCCCGCCTCCACTACGTCACTTTCTAGGCTATTCCACGGCCTTACTACTCTATGACTGAAGAAATACTTCCTAACATCCCTTTGATTCATCTGAGTCTTCAACTTCCAATTGTGACCTCTTGTTTCTGTGTCCCATCTCTGGAACATCCCGTCTTTGTCCACCTTGTCTATTCCGCGCTGTATTTTATATGTCGTTATCATGTCTCCCCTGACCCTTCTGTCCTCCAGTGTCGTCAGGCCGATTTCCTTCAACCTTTCTTAGTAGGACAATCCCCTTAGCTCTGGGACTAGTCTTGCTGCAAACCTTTGCACTTTCTCCAATTTCTTGACGTACTTTACCAGGTGTGGATTCCAAACTGGTGCTGCAAAATCCAGTATGGGCCTGACGTAAATGGTATACAGAGTCTTGAACGATTCCATACTGAGGTATCGGAACGCTATCCGTAAGTTTGCCAGACGCCCGTATGCTGCAGCAGTTATCTGATTGATGTGCGCCTCAGGAGATATGCTCGGTGTTATACTCACCCCCAGATCTTTTTCCTTGAGTGAGGTTTGCAGTCTTTGGCCATCTAGACTATATTTTGTCTGCGGTCTTCTTTGCCCTTCCCCAGTCTTCATGACTTTGCATTTGGCAGGGTTAAACTCAAGGAGCCAGTTGCTGGACCAGGCTTGTAGCCTGTCCAGGTCACTTTGTAGTCCTGCCTGATCCTTGTCCGATTTGATTTTTCTCATTAACTTCACATCATCTGCAAACAAGGACACTTCTGAGTCTATCCCTTCCGTTATGTCATTCACATATACCAAAAACAGCACAGGTCCTAGGACTGACCCCTGTGGAACCCCGCTTGTCACAGGCGCCCAGTCTGACACCTCGTCACGTACCATGACTCGTTGTTGCCTCCCTGTCAGGTATTCTTTGATCCATTGCAGTGCCTTTCCTGTTATGTGTGGCTGATCCTCTAGCTTTTGCAGTAACCTCTTGTGAGGAACTGTGTCGAAGGCCTTCTTGCAGTCCAAAAAAATGCAGTCGATCCACCCCTCTCTCTCTTGTCTTACTTCTGTCACTTTGTCATAAAAATCTAGTAGGTTTGTGACACACGATTTTCCTTCCCTGAAACCGTGCTGGTTGTCAATTATACATTTGTTTCTTTCCAGGTGCTCCACCACTCTCCTCCTGATGATCTTCTCCATGACTTTGCATACTATACACGTTAGTGTTACAGGTCTGTAGTTTTGTGCCTCATGCCTGTCTCCTTTTTTTAAAATTGGGACTACATTTGCCATCTTCCATACCTCAGGGAGTTGCCCAGTTTCAATGGATGTGTTGAAGATCTTTGTTAATGGCACACACAGCATCTCTGCTCCCTCTCTAAGGACCCACGGAGAGATGTTGTCTGATACCACCGCCTTTGAGGTGTCAAGTTCACATAGCAGCTTCTTCACCTCCTCCTTGGTTATGTGTACCTCATTCAGCACTTGTTGGTGTATCCCCCTGTTCTGATTTCCTGGAGTCCTACTGGTTTCCACTGTAAATACTTCTTTAAATCTCGTGTTGAGCTCCTCACATACCTCTCGGTCGATTCTTGTGAACTCCCCATCGCCCTTCCTCAGTCTGATTACCTGGTCCTTGACTGTTGTTTTCCTCCTGATGTGGCTATACAACAGCTTCGGGTCAGACTTGACTTTCGATGTTATGTCATTTTCATATTGTCGCTGAGCCTCCCTTCTTATCTGTGCATATTCATTTCTGGCTCTTCGGCTAATCTCTTTATTTTCCTGAGTTATCTGTCTTCTGTACCTTTTCCATTCTCTAGTACACCTAGTTTTTGCCTCCCTACACCTTTGGGTGAGCCAAGGACTCGTTCTGTTCTTCCCATTATTTCTGTTTCCCTTGGGAACAAACCTCTCCTCTGCCTCCTTGCATTTTGTTGCCACATAGTCCATCATTTCTTGTACTGGTTTTCCTGTCAGTTCCCTCTCCCACTGAATGTCTTGCAGGAAGTTCCTCATGCCTGAGTAGTTCCCCCTTTTGTAGTTTGGCTTTCCCATCCTATTCCTGCTACTCTCTCCATTTGAAGCTCAACTATGTAGTCAAAGTACGGAACCACATGATCACTAGCTCCCAGGGGCCTTTCATACATGATGTCCTTGATATCCATACTCAAGGTGAATACAAGGTCCAGTCTTGCTGGATCATCCTCACCTCTCTCTCTGGTAGTGTCTCTAACATGTTGATGCATGAGGTATTCCAGTACCACATCCATCATCTTGGCTCTCCATGTTTCGGGACCCCCATGGGGCTCCAGGTTTTCCCAGTCAATCTCCTTGTGATTGAAATCACCCATAACTAGTAACTTTGCTCCCCCCATGTGTGCTCTTCTGGCCACCTCGGCTAGTGTGTCGATCATTGCTCTGTTGCTCTCATCGTATTCTTCTCTTGGCCTCCTGCAGTTCTGGGGTGGGTTGTACATTATTGCAATTATCAACTTATGTCCCTCAGACTGGATTGTTCCTACTAAGTAGTCCCTTTCGCCCGTGCCATCCATTCTTTCCATTTTTTCAAAACCCCACTGGCTTTAAATGAGCAGTGCAACTCCTCCTCCCCCTCTCCTCCCTCTGTCTTTCCTGAGGATTTGATATCCGGATGGAAAGATTGCATCTGTTATTATTATTATTGTGTGTGTGTGTGTGTGTGTGTGTGTGTGTGTGTGTGTGTGTGTGTGTGTGTGTGTGTGTGTGTGTGTGTGTTTGTATGTATGCTATGTATGGTATGTACTTGTTGTGTGTAGGTGTGCGTGTTGACTTGTGCTTCCATGCGGTTGACTTCTGAGCGACTGATATCAGTTATATTGGCTTTCAAAGTTTTGCTAATTTGTTTGTACAACGATTACTTTCCTTTGATGTATTTCAAGAGTTTTTCTACTCCCGGAGACTTGGGCCGGGCTCGTCTGGTGGTTGCCTGATTAACCAGGCTGTTGCTGCTGGTGGCCCATTGGCCACCAGCAGCAATACATATTCATCACTCATATTCATCACTCCTATTTGATCTGGCATCTGGAAATATAAACACAAATGCAGTATAATGTGATCTTTTATTGACAACGTTTCACCCACGCAGTGGCTTTTTCAAGTCACACACGGATCTACCTGGGGTTGGAAGGTACGGGAGTATTTATAGTTCAGAATGTTGAGGTCAGGTGGAGAATGCTGCATCTGATGATCTACCGGGTGGGGTTATAGTCTTGGGTAGCTAGGCGGGGATATTGGACAAGTTGTGAGTAGACCTTCTGCAGTGTTCTATGTTCTTATGTGGGATAGCGATGAAGAAATTTCTGCAGAAGGTCTACTCACAACTTGTCCAATATCCCCGCCTAGCTACCCAAGACTATAACCCCACCCGGTAGATCATCAGATGCAGCAATCTCCACCTGACCTCAACATTCTGAACTATAAATACTCTCGTACCTTCCAACCCCAGGTAGATCCGTGTGTGACTTGAAAAAGCCCACTGTGTGGGTGAAACGTTGTCAATAAAAGATCACATTATACTGCATTTGTGTTTATATTTCCATTGTGTCGGTATTTTATACCATTTATTTCCATCTGGCATCTGGTGAAGATACTTGTCCAGATTGGGATTCTCCCTGTTTCCTAACTAGAATGTTGTTAGACCTGCTGACAATTTAATCTACTTCCTAGTTTACAAGAGTCTACTTATAAAACCACCTCGCAGCACTCACAGGCTGTTCGTTGTTAAGTACCAACTAATGTTCGTTATTAAGTACAAATTAGTCTATCTCTTGTTCTCAAGGCCAGGAGAGTGGACCCATCGTGTTTCAGCTGCGGCTGGTACTTGAAACTCTCACAGGCCTGACTTGCTACCACATAGATGATACCTACATCTGACAACGACGAGTTCCTAGGTCCTCTCTCTTACGTCGCACAGCTTCACGTCTGTTTCTTAACTATGTGTATTTTCTTCACTGTTTTCTGTATACACCGTGTACATCTCTCATCACTCAAAACAGATGCTGACACTTCCTTATTTTGTGGAGGCAGACCTACTATAAGAAACAATAAGAACACCGAGAAGGACGCCTAATGGTTGTCATTCCTGCGTGGACTGTTTCTTTTTTGTTTTCACTTCTGTATGATTTCTTATTCTACTCACTCAATAATCTAACCTGTCTTCGCATTTATCTCTGTAGGTCTTAGGAGTCACACCTTAACCTGTTAGCATTTACAACTATGATCAGTTATGTCAACACCAGGTACATGACACTAGGTCTGACTTTCCTCTCACTGTTTCTAACAAATACTGGTACTTTCAAATTGATTTATGAAATTGTAATCCTCGTCACCCTTTTCCGACTTTGAGCACCTTGTTATTTGCGTGTGGGGTTGTTCACTGACCGTGTCGCATTCAGTGACCCTTGTAAGATGAGGAATTAAATATATGTGCAGCATCTGGGTATCTTTATTGTAGACGTTTCACCATCCAGTGGTTTTATCAATACAAGGACATACAGTGAAGAAATATATACAAAAGATGTGGTGGACAGAACTGTTGTTCTGAAGGAACAGAAGCACAATCACGGATCTTGATGCTTCTATACCAGCGACAGGTGAAGAACATGTAACAAATGAAGACATTGTGACTGGTAAGCAGGAATCCCCAGTGGAAGTAGGTTATACCCATGAAATGGGGCAGTTGTGTTGATATCCTCTATACTAAGATTCTATGATGCTGAAGTGTCTAACAAGTTGTACATAAATGGTATACAATATGGACAAGATGAGGAATTAAACACATGTGCAACATCTGATGCACGCCCATCATCACCTGTCGCCGGTATATAAGCTCCAAGCTCCATCATCAGGCCCAGCTGCCGATGACTGGCAAGCGGAAAGCGTGGACTCTAGCTCCAGGAGAGTGAAAGGTACATTATATGGCTCCATTCCAACAGAAGAGAAATCCAAGGGAAATTGCTCCTTGGTAGACTTAGTCGCGAGAAATGAGGGAACAAACATGAAGCCCGTGGGAGACACGAAAAAAATGATTACCGATTTCTGTGGCAACTTCAATAGGTTCCACAACATTAACACCAGCAACCCGCAGAATAGGAGCTGGGTCCGGAGTGTTCTTGCCACACAACTTCTGTACCTTCTTCCAAACAGCACACACAGGAGAAGTCGAGATAATGGTAGACACACAGTCTTGCAAACAAGTGCGTTTAGCTTGCTTAAATCCAAGAGACGATTTGAGGTCTGATTATACCGATAACGACCCACGCAGCGCGTTTCAAATGCACCTCACAAGCACACGCAGGAGACCACCAAGGCATGCATGTCTGAGAACGCCTGCCTGAGGTTTGAGGAATAGAACATGATGCTGAAGTCAAAACTAAGGTTGAAAACTGGTGCACCAGTTCATCAATAGAGGACGAAGAAAGGTACTCACAAAAAGCTGTAATATGAGAGTATAAGTCCCGATTCGCTCATCCAAATTGCCAATGAGGGCTACGAGGTTGTCGGGAATACGTAGTAGAAGTAAGAAGAATAGGAACCAATCGTAATCAAGCACGATTGACGAGGAGCAGATAGAAAGATCAATGCAAGAGATTGAGTTTGAGAGTCAAAATGGGTTGGATCACCTGTATTTAAAACATGAAGAGGATGAGAAGTGAGAAGACACTCTAGCTGATTACCACGAGAGTCACAGTGGGACCCTCCCCAATGATGGTGAGCGTTAACATCACTTAACAACAAGATGGGCGGTGGTAGAGAAGAGATCAAGAACGCAATATCCGAGATACAGAGTGCATGGGAACGCTCTCTCGTCAGGAAAGGGATCAGAAGAATACCCGAAATGGCACGAATAACAGCTGAACGAATTTCAGACTGTTGTAACCCAACACATACTGAGAAAAATTGGGAGAGCAACACCTGGAGCTCTCCCCGTTTACCCCTGAGGCCACGAATATTCCATTGTAAATAAGACAGTTTTCAAAGACAGGTATGCCAACAATAAGAAGCTATTAGGGTCATTGAAGTCACTGTGTGGAAGCAACGGAAAGCGTGTCAGTAAGGAGGAATCAGATTGCTGTGAAGGAAAAAATTAATGCGAGGGTCGTGAAAAATAAGGCATAGGAGGCGTGTCAGTATCCATCGAGGGTTTCATCTCCACAATATAGTTGGAGATAGCGTCAAGTGTCTCAGCAGATAAGAAAGATGCCGATACCATGATTTCAGAGACAGATGAAGTAGAGCAAGTAGAACTCTGGGAGACTATGGAGGGAACCAAACAGATCTGACAGGGGAGGGAAGTATGAACCTGGAGAGATGCACTGGCGGGGGTAGAGTCCTACAGTGGAACAGGATAGGAAGGAGACTGGAAGGTAACTGGGGAAGAAGACCAGAGGGAACAGGTGTAGAGGGGACTACGCGAGTAGGGTGAACCTCCACCTCTGTGTGAGAATTAGAGAGTTAGAATGAGGCAGTGAGGCCGAAAATGAAAACTGTTGAGGAATTGTAAGTACGGGAGGAATGCGAAGAGATTTGGCCTTTTGAGACAGGTTCAACTTCGCAGGTGATAGGCGCAAAGAAGAAGCAGGCGTGCGAAGCTTTGCAAACTGAGAAACTAGTGGGTAAGAAGAAGAAGCAGAGGAAGAAGTAGGTAAGAAGGTGGGAGTTTCAGAGAGTAAAACTACAAAAGAATTAGAGATGGGAGTGACCCTGGAAGACACAACACCAGAGGAGCTGGTAGGTGGGGGGACTACTATGGTTGACGGTATCCTAGCTACTCATGAATAAGGGGTACAAGGAAGATTCTCCTGCAGGTGGAGCCGAGAGACAGCCATAGCATAAGGCCTTCACTCTCTCTTAAGGCAACTGATTTCTCATTCATTACGATAGACCTGACAACAGCCGGAAAAAGAAGGATGAGGTTCATTACAATTGAGAGAAGTGAGGGGAAGACTGCAAGATGTATCAGTATGATCTGCGGCACCGCAGACCAGGTACTCCACCTCAGATCTGCAGTATTTAGAGGAGTGTCCAAAGCGCCAGCAATTTCAACACTGTTGGGAAGTAGGGACCACTTTACGGACCTTCAGGCGATGGCCCATGATATAAAGGGAAAATGGGAGTTCACGGCAGTCAAAAGTTAAGTGGGCGATGATACTGGGAAAGCACTTCCGCCCATAAGCGGGTAGGACATATGCATCCACTTTGAGAATAGGAAGGTCCTGAAGGACTAATTGTTCTAAAATATCATCACCGCAAGACAGAAAGTCATTCTGTACAATGGTACGTGGTAAAACCATTATACCACTGCAAGAATTGAGAATAATGTGCTTGTGAACTGTGATTGGAATGTTATCTATGGAAGTAATATGGGAAAGATCATGAGCTTGTTCTTCATTCTGAACTGTAATGATGTGCACACTGCTTCGAAGAGCGTGAAAGGATATATTTTGGCCGACGTGTCATAAAAGAGCCTTACCAATACTATGGTCAGAAAGAAAATCGGTTGGAGATGTCGGTTGTAGAGAAAAGAATTTAGTCCACTACTTACTTGTAAATATGGTGCATAAAGAAAGTGGCTGTCGCATAGATCTTTTGTGTAGAATGAGTAGACATTGAAGAACCATCATCGTTAAATGGTCTCGAACGTTTAGGTGTAGTACCGTGGGCGGCCCGACCTGAGGCAGGTGGGCAATTCGAAAACCGTCGCACCGTATTGAGGGAAGCTGGACGCATAGAAGAGGCAGAGCACTAACAGAGATGGGCAGAGCCCCAACACCTGGAGTAGATGACGAAGCGTCACCAGTAAAAGGTACAGGGGTATGGGAAGAGTCTAGAGAATGGTCCAATAATGAAGGCGGGTCAGAACAGGATGTGGTAACAATAAGGGGACTGGGAGGAGGAGGGTAATCACGGAAAGAAGACTCCATGACGATGGGGCTTCTTTCTTATTATTATTTTAAGAAAAAAAAGAAAGAAGAAAAAAAAAAGCCGTAAGTTCCTCCTCTCACCCGAGAGGACCTCAAGACCACAAGCAGTGCAGATGTATCATGCCATACCCTACCTGTCATGCCAGTAAACCAACGTTCAGGGATAGCAACCTCACATCTACCGAGCCACCTCAGTGAACAAAAGAGATGGTGGTCGGAAACCCGCCACAAAGCATACCAACTTCGGCTGCCACCTCCCAGAACCGATAGGCAGCCTCTGGAGATACACCCATCATCTGAAGGACACCCCGCCCACTTTTCAAAAATCCGGGAAGGGTGAAGGGCGCCTCCAGATAATCCAGATTCCACAGCAAATTACACTACACCTGAGGAACCTCACGGAGTGGGATGAACCCTGGCACACTTGCCCCTACTTAGAAACAGCAATGGCAGAGGGGAGGACCCCAGAGACTACAAACGGGACAGGAAAAGGGGAGGGTTGGGAGGGGGAGGAAGGGATAAAATGGGGGGATGGGGAGGATGGGAAAGGGAATGGAGGATTTGAGGGTAATAAGGTTTGGTCTCAGGAAGAAGACCAAAAGGTCTAATTCCTCAGATCAAGAGCCTCTTCACCACTACAAGGAGCCTCCCTTAAAGAGGAATTATTTCAGAAAAATTTGAAATTTACACCTATTCAGACCAAACTTATTGGGTATCATCCTTCCAATAAAGTGTATAGACAGTATTTTTTAAGGCAATTCGAAACAGCATTCTGTAGTTATTCAATAAGAAATGAAAATCAGTATTTATTCAATAAAGTTGACAGACTTGGAATAATGGTACCTGATGGCAGCGTGAACCTTGTGTTCAGTCAGTCACATCAGTGGTGAAAATGTAAAGCCAATCAGAAGAGTCATTTTCCAGATATATTACAGATTTTTATTATTTTAATACATAAAAGGATTTGCCTGCACAGAAATACAACTTAAAATGCACTATCCTGGCACTAAGATGCACCAGCCATTAACGGGAATAAAACTTTCACACTATTTTAAACACACAATGGTCAAACCTGCTCCTACACAACTGACTTTCACTCTTTGACGTCTTTGACAACGATTCATATGTCTACCTTCTTCTCAAACATTGGATCTAATCTCGCCAGTAAAACCCCACGTACCAATGCCCATGCCGGGGACTACCTAGATGGGAATTTCCCAAATTCCTTCTATCTTGAACCAACTGAGCCCACGGAAGTCACCGCGATCATAAAGTCACTTAAAAATAACTCGGGGAATCTGTCTCACGTCCCACCATTATTGTACAAGCGAGCGGCCCATGTCCTTTCGCATACTATTACATTACTTTTTAACAAGCCACTAGAAACTAGCACTTTCCCGACACTACTCAAGACAGCAAGGGTTACACCAATACATAAAGGTGGTGACCTTACAGACGTAAACAACTATGGGCCAATATCAAACTTACCATTGCTATCCAAAATCTTCGAGAAACTCGTGCACAGGAGACTATATTCATTTATAACGTCACAAAACTATTAAAACCCCTGCCAATTTGGATTCAGGAAAAATAAAAGCATAATGATGCAATTATAAAGATGCTAACCTGCTTTACACAGCATTGGAAATAAGGAATATCGCTAGCAATTTTTAATGACCTAAGAAAAGCGTTTGACACAGTAGACCACGGCATCCTACTCCACAAACTTGACCGCTATAGTATAAGAGGCCATGCGCTTGCATATTTTAAATCCTACCTTTCTAATAGCTATCAGTATGTCACCATTAAAGACACAGCCTCATCACTACGGCCACTTGATACTGGAGTTCCGTAGGGAAGTGTCCTTGGACCCCTGCTCTTCCTCATTTATATCAATGATTTTCCAAACATATCCCAACACCTGAAACCCATTATCTTTGCTGACGACACGACTTACGTCATCTCCCACCCTAATCTTGTCACCCTCAACACCTTGTTAACGAGGAGCTGCTCAAAATATCGACTTGGATGACAGCCAATAAACTTACACTTAACACTATATTATGTTTAGTAGCAGAGCAGGTGTTGCGCAACTTAATATTAAGATCGACAACACTCTAATTCCCAGACATAATGAGGGCAAATTCCTTGGCCTATACCTCGACAACAACCTAAATTTAAGAACCCATATCCAAAACATAACAAAAAAAGTATCCAAAACGGTGGGGATCCTCTCCAAGATACGATACTATGTGCCGCAAACTGCCCTTCTCACACTATACTATTCACTTACATATCCATACCTCACCTATGCTATCTGTGCTTGGGGTTCAACTGCAGCAACACACCTAAAGCCAATAATAACCCAACAAAAAGCCGCAGTAAGAATAATCACTAAATCCCATCCCTGGCAACACCCCCCCCCCCACCCTTCATAGATCTACTCACTCCCTGTTCAGAACATCCACACTTACTACTGTGCAATCTATATCTACAGGACCTTAAATTCCAATATTAACCTTGACCTAAAACGCTTTCTTGATAGTTGTGACAGGATCCACAGGCATAACACCAGACACAAACATCTCTATGACATTCCCCGTGTTCGACTAAACCTTTACAAAAATTCATTGTATTTCAAAGGACCTAAAATCTGGAACACCTTACCTGAAAACTCTTGAACTGCAGACACATTCATCACTTTCAAAACTACAGTCAGAAAACATCTTATCTCCCTGATACACCCCGACAACTAACTACATGATAACCATCTGGTGGTTCACAATTACACTCACTCACCCACTGACTAAATACTAATCTTAATCTTAAAATAATAAATCCTAACTAGTCATAAGTTTGCCTATGATACTCAAATATAGACACTTTGTATTGTGTCAAAACAAAAGCATTCACATTGCTAAACTCACAAATTATGATGTAGTCGCTTAGCCTTAATACCATAATCTGCAAGGATTTAATGTTAAGAATTAATCTAAGTCTGCCCGAAATGCCTAGCCATGCTAGGTGTCCTAGTGGCTCACTCTGTAATTAGTATTTCATAACATGTAAACCACACAATACCCAAAACCTGTAAACCCCACATTGTAACCCTTATAGAGAATAAACTGAATTGAATTGAATTGAATTCATGGATACCTAAATTTGTCTAGTCCCAACCTAGAGGTAAGTCAAGGAACATTCAACTGTGAAACAAATGCTCTCAATACATAACTGAAGGTTATTGTCATAAAATAGAAATATTGACAGAGTACTGAAAACCCGGAAACGTGAAAAGAATGTATCAACGCGTCTTATTTAGTCAGAATCGACTGGCACATTAACCCCTGATATATGACGTCTGAATATATAGTGCACTGACCACCCTTCAGACTATGATTTAATTTGTGAGTAAACTTTAATAAATACCGTCTAACTCTACTGCGGAAGTTTTAGTGGAAGATAAATGTATATAATTAGTATAAAGTATAGAGGATGTATGTGACTAAGACCAATACAGACTACAAGATTATGTGAGTGAGTGTAGTATGAGAGAATGTGAGTGTAGTGAGTGTGAGTGCGAGAGAATGTTTGTGAGTGGAAGTTAGAGTGTTAGAAGGGTAGGTGGTCTACGCGAGTGAAAGCATATAGAGAAGAGATAGTGTTTGAGAGAAATTAAAGATGACCCAAGAAAAAAAATGCAGTAGTCACTTGCGTCAAGGAACTCATGAAAGATACGAACTCTCCTCAGTACCACGAATTATTGATTATAATGATGTTCAGTCCCCCAGCTCCTGTGTCAATCTTTCCACACATCTACTGTCCCCACAACCACCCATCTACTGTCCGCACAACCACCTCTCTACTGTCCGGACAAAAACTCCTCCACTGTCCCCACAACCACCTCTCTACTGTCCCCACAACCACCCATCTACTGTCCGCACAACCACCTCTCTACTGTCCCCACAACCACCTCTCTACTGTCCGCACAACCACCTCTCTACTGTCCCCACAACCACCTCTCTACTGTCCCCACAACCACCCATCTACTGTCCGCACAACCACCTCTCTACTGTCCGCACAACCACCCATCTACTGTCCGCACAACCACCTCTCTACTGTCCGCACAACCACCTCTCTACTGTCCGGACAAAAACTCCTCCACTGTCCCCACAACCACCTCTCTACTGTCCCCACAACCACCCATCTACTGTCCGCACAACCACCTCTCTACTGTCCCCACAACCACCTCTCTACTGTCCGCACAACCACCTCTCTACTGTCCCCACAACCACCTCTCTACTGTCCCCACAACCACCCATCTACTGTCCGCACAACCACCTCTCTACTGTCCGCACAACCACCCATCTACTGTCCGCACAACCACCTCTCTACTGTCCGCACAACCACCTCTCTACTGTCCCCACAACCACCCATCTACTGTCCCCACAACCACCCATCTACTGTCCCCACAACCACCCATCTACTGTCCCCACAACCACCCATCTACTGTCCGCACAACCACCTCTCTACTGTCCGGACAAAAACACCTCCACTGTCCGCACAACCACCTCTCTACTGTCCGCACAACCACCTCTCTATTGTCCGCACAACCACCTCTCTACTGTCCGGACAAAAACCCTTCCACTGTCCCCACAACGACCCCTCCACTGTCCCCACAACCACCCATCCACTGTCCTCACAACCACACCACTACTGTCCCCACAACGACCCCTCCACTTTCCCCATAACCACCCATCTACTGTCCGCACAACCACCTCTCTACTGTCCGCACAACCACCTCTCTACTGTCCGCACAACCACCTCTCTACTGTCCGGACAAAAACCCCTCCACTGTCCCCACAACGACCCCTCCACTGTCCCC